TGAAGAAAATATTAGAATTTCGAAAAATAGCCACATTCATTAAAAAAAAATTTCCTTGATGTGATAAACAAAATCCGCCTATACTCCGGTTCCAAAAGGGATCATCCATCGAAACTTTAAGAACAGAAAGAAAAAAAATTAGAGTAATTTGAAAACGTGGGAGAGTGTAAAAAAATCTGCTTGAAATTTTTATTAAAGCTAATCTTATTTGAAGAATAATTCCTGTAGATAAAATGAATGTTATAATATGCTTAATTGCTTTTTCCTTATCTGTATGTGAAACCAAAAACAGAAATATGGCGAATAAAGGAGGGCTGTTAAATTAGGCATCCAAACATATTTTATAGCATCTCAAAAACAATTCAAGTCGGAATTTTTTCAAGCATTTACGATAGTAGAATTTATGGAATGAATGTTTTTCAAAAAAAATTCTTTTTATGTGAATATTTGCAAATAATTTCAAAGAAATAAAAAATATCAAAGTGCTTCCTCACAGAAGAGAGCACTTTGAGTTTTTAAAGAATTATCAATTAAAATTTATAAAAATGTGTAATATTATGTAAGAACTAAATTAGATCTTCAACAATTATTAAATTATCCTCTTATAATATTTTATGTGTATTTTTCAAAAAGTAATTCTCACTTAATATCAAAATAAGGAAAAAAAAATGCAGTTAATAAAAATAATTAAAGGCATACTAAAAGACAATCTCGGTCCATAACTTTTTTTTTTTAACTAACTTAAAAAAGTTATTTCATAAACAACGGAAAAGCTTTTTTTTTCTATAATTTTAACTAAAAATTTTAAGAAAATGAACATTTAAAGGTGGATTTTTTTAAAAGGTATTTGTTTAAAAAGTAATTTTTAATTTTAAAATCACTTAAATTCATAAATAACCCCCACTCCACTCCCTCAAAAAAAAACTTATAAAAATTTGGTCAATTGAGAATAATCCTAACAAAGTAAATATTTGTAATAAAAAATCAGATATCTTAATATATTAGTTCAACAATTAGAACAATTACCTCAACATCAATCAGTTTTCAATCGAACTATCTTTCATAAATTTAAAGCAGGGCTCACGACAAGCATTCGTTACCTCGCCAAATGCAATAAAATCGTAAATTTGGCGAATAAAATTGTGTTTTAGCAAAAGTATTGGCGAATGATTTTTTTCCACTGTAAAGAGAAATTTATAAAAAAAATTAAGATTTGCAATTGGCAAAGACTTTCGAAAATTGACGAATACTTTTGATATTTGGCTAATTTACAGGCTAATAATTTAAAATCCTTAGAGCGGGCCCTGTAATAGAAATAAGTATCATAATGTCCGTCGGTTTTCAAAAGAAATCCAATGAAAAAAAAGCGCTTTTTCATAAAAATAAAAGAAAAAAAGTGAACATAAATAAGTCATGTGGACTTTTAAAAATCACTATATATATCTAATTAAATGTAAAAACAAATTCGTGAAAGGCACTAACGCAATTTACATAAATCTTTCTCTATCATCACTTTTCCAGAATAGATGGAAAAGTTCGAAGGGGAAAAAAGTTTACTTTTCACGCTTGAAGAACTCTCCTTTCGGACAGTTTATTTTAAGGGTGTGACAAAATCTCGGAACATACACACCAGTTTTAAAAAAAAATGTTAAACTGATAGAGCCCACACATCTTTCCTCATATAACCTGTAAGAACACTTGCGGCGGCAATGTTACAAAATTCTTAAAGCGCGATGCCTACGCGTTTTTCTGATGTATCACAGATTGCCCAAGGATTTCTCTCAAAAAATATGCGCCTTTTTTTAACGATAAAAACTGTAAATCTTTTAGCAGTTCATTCAAAAATGCACATATGTTAAAGATTAAGCGGAGCATTTAGTTTTGAAATGAGGTTTGTTGTGTTTGGAATGAATTTTATCAACGGCCTCGTTCGCTAATGTGAATCTTATCTCTTAAGAACGCGTATTTGTCAGCAATAATTTTTAAGGCGTCATTAAACAGTTTTTAAGGTTACAATTCAAAAAGTTTAATTTAAGTTTCAGAATATTTGCGAGACATTTATCTAGGTCTAAATTACTTTTAACAGAAGGAGCACGAGGATTTTCTAGACAAATAATTCATAACTTTCCGCAAGGTGAAAAAAAAAGTATGGTCAAAAATACCAGAATATGGTAAAATTTACCGTGTTTCTAGATCTATAGGAACACCAAAAAGCTCATTCATTTTTAGTGATGATTAGGGAAAAATTAGCAATAAAATATAGTTTCATAATATGCGATAAATTTTATCATGATACCTAAGACCATGGCATAAAAACCATTTATTCGGTTGCATTTGTTTTTCAGCTTTGTATTTTCTACAAAATGTGAGAGAAAAAAACTATAATTTTGAAAATCAGAAATTCTGGTAAACCGCAACCATATGAAGGAAAAAAATTGCCAAATAAACAGTTTAAATAACGTACATTTCAGTTTTACTAACCAGAATTATGATTTTTTTTTTAAAACTGAAAATGCCATTACCATGCAATACGGTAGTTTTACTAGAATTTTTTTCTCCATGCGAAGAAACTTGTAGATTTTTTTAATTTTTAAATTAATTTGTACTTTTTGTATCGAATTTTCATAGCTTACAAAAAGCGATAAAATTATTTTAAAAAAAAATTCTACGATTTTCGATCAAATGTCGAAAAGAAGTCAGATTAATTCAGACGACAATAAACTAAGCTACAAAATCGGACACAAAAACCCTTTTTTCATTCAGAATAAACGCTACCTTTTCCCCGACGGAATTGAGGTTTTGAATTGAAAATGATGGGAAGTAGCCGCAATCTGGGAGGTATGACCAAATTGCTTAAAGAGACCATTAAATATTTTTTGCATCTTAATGTTATTTCTATACATTGTGTATTTAACTCTATGTCGGAAACTGCAATAAACTTGTTCGAATAGAAACAATCTCTGTTCTAGTATAGGAGCTTTATTTTGATGTTCCGAAATGTTGTTCTTTTTTCGAATTCCAGGGTTTCACGCAAACGAACTTCACGAACATTATTTTAACTTGAAAGGCAGGAGAAATTCACACTTAGAAACAAAAGAATATTGTGTTAAGACATAAGTTTTTGAGGAAATAAAAATTTCAATAAAAAGTGAACGATATTGGTTGTTTTATGAAGCACGCATAGTCTTAAGAATTGAAATATTATGTCACGTATCTTCAACCTTGTGTGACGTGCCACACAACGACAATAGAAAAATGTTCGATTTATGACATTATAATAGAACATGTTACATATACCACGTATCAACTACCTCAGCCGAATCGGTAATGGTTCATTGTTCAAAATTCCACAACTATTGTTTACGGAAAAGATCGAAGATGCTTTTTTTTTTTATCCTATTTGTGAATTTGAGCTTTATATACTTATAACCAGAGGTTAAAAAATAGTTTTTTAAAATAATTTAAAATGATATAAATAATTAATAGTCAGTGCAAAATGTATTAAATACACTGCCCTACAATAATGGAATAAACACTTTCAGTTTCGAAGTTTTTTTTTTTTTAAATTTCTCAATAAATATTTCTTTTAGAGGATTAATTTGTAATTTTAGAGCTGTTTAGTTCCTGCGAATTTTCATACATAGCAATAAGGTTTAAAGCTTACAAAGATTTGAGGGACCGCCAATAAATTACGAAACAGAAAAAAGCATTTTGAAACACCTTATGCCAGAAAATTAAGTAAAAAGCTTATAACTTATATAAATGAATTCGATTGTTATTTACAATAACTGCAAAAATTGTCACAAAACCTAGCTTGAATATTTATGGAAATATGAATATTTTTATTAAAAAAAAACAATTAAAAAAAACAAACAATTTTTTTGTCTTAATTTTTTTAACTTTAAAAATATTCAATGAATTTAAACAAAATTTTTGGAGCAATTAAAAAGTAATTACAAAATTATTGCTGTTCTTATATATTGCGCATGCGCGGAAAAAAAAAATTTAATTTATTTTTTTTTTCACAATTTTGTAATAAGTAGTATTTAGCAACTAATGAAACAAATCTGATTTTGCATCCCCTGTTTCCCATACTAATCTATAGAGAAAAATACGAATACCAATTTATTATTTGAGTCAGTAATTGATATTTTGGAATGTTTTTATTGAATTTGATTTATTGACGAATATTAGTCAGCAAATTTTAATTGTTAAGTTTTAAAATATTTTCTAGAGCTATTATAGTAGCTTAAGCTATAGTTTGAAAATATTAAAAAAAATTCTTAAAACTTTAAAATTGCTAATTTTAAAAACAAGGTCAAAGCATTAAAAATTTTAAAAGCTACAATAGTTTTGATAAAGTTTAGCTATGTTAAAAAATTTTTAACCGTAAATTTTAAATTTGATAACTAAGTTCTATGGATAAAATGAAACCACATATATTGCAGATATTAACTTCAGACTTCAAAATATTGGGAATAATTTACCCCAAGTAAACATAGATTTAGAATATGATTTTAAGATACGTTAAATAGTAAAGCATGATGATGATGATGTTGAATAGTAAAGCATACAAATTTTTTACATAATTTTAAAGAATGCAATTTTACATGTCAAAATATAAAATTTGAGTGTAATCGGTCGAATAGAAATCGAATTTTAAAAATACAACTTTTTTTAAAATTCGAATTCATTGAAAAAAGGGGTATGGTAAATCAGAGGAAGTGTGTTTTTGCGTCTGACTTAGTAACTTAAAACATCGTCTGCACTAATTAATTAGAATATTTGCAGTCACCGCCTCGAACCATTGAGATTGAATCCCCCCAGAACATTAAGATCCGATCCATCAGGGTGTTCCTTTTTTTAATGCACTTATCTTAGGGCTTATATTTTTGAAAATTAGTATATGTACTCTTCTTTTGTCTTTATCGTTCATAAAACGATATGATACGATTTAAGATATCAAGCTGATATTATATCGATAATAGTAAAACACTTACCAAATCATAGCTTCCAGATGATGGCTCACAGCCAGTATCAACCTAAAATTAAAAATCAGCAGATAAATATTTCATTGCCAAAGAGCAACAAAGATCATCAAAAAACACAGACCAAAACATAATTTTTTTTTAAGTATTAAAGAAAATCAAAAGCTATCTCAAAATTATCTCAACCATATCGATATTTTTCAGCACTTGATGCGAAAATAATCTCATTTAAGAGTTAGTTTTGCTGATAAAATATCGCTTAGAAGTAAGATATTTTGTTTATTGACGAAGCTTAAGAAACGAAAGTGAGATAAATAAATCATTTCCCCATTTGTAGATGTGATTAATATTAAAAAAATTTAAAAGTTTATACACACAACTGTAATTAAAAGAAATAAATAACAAATGGAGAACCATAGTGGCTCAGGGGATAGAGCGCTCGACTCCCAATGAGGTAACCCGGGTTAAAATCCCATCGATGGCTGGTCGATACGAATTTCGCACCCGGCACACACCGACCGCAGTGATGACGTTAAATATTCTCAGTGGCAGATGGATCATGGGTTTGAGTCTCCTTAGTGGCAGGTAAACCGTCGGAAGTTTTCATGGTTTTCCTCTTCATCTAACGTATGTCAGTTATATCTAAAAGTCTTCCACAGCGACAAATTTCTCTTAATACTTGATTCAGATGTTCCCTTGTCTTCTGGATAGGGTTCAAAATTACAAACGGACTGGTAGTCGAAAACTCAAAATTACGTCGACTGTTCGACGACGGTTGTAAAATATAAAAAAAAAAATTAAAAAATTGAGAAGTAACCCAGTCGAATACTTGAAACAGAACAAAACGAAAAAGTTTATTTTCCGAGAGAAGATGAAAAGCAGTTCTAAAAATTTATTTTATTTTATTTAATAACCGTCGTTGAACAACCGACCCAATTTTGGGTTTACGACTACCAATGTTCAACTCCGTAGCCTTGTAATTTTGAACCCAATCCAGAAGACAAGGTATTCGGAGAAATTTGCCTTCATGGAGGATTCTTTTAGTTGCGGGTTAGTAGTTTCATCAAAAAGTCCTCCACGAAGGCTAGTGTGTCCAAATGTTTGATCTAGGAGTTCCCTTGTCTTCTGGATTGGGTTTAAAATTACAACTCTACGGGGTTGAAAATTGTTAGTAGTAAACTCAGAATTGGGTCGACTGTTCAAAGCCGGTTATAAAATACAATATAAAAATTCCTACAGTAAAAATTTCCAAACATACTTTAAAACTAAGACATAATCGGCTTTATTTCGAATTTATTTAACATAAATTCGAAAAATAAATATAAAATTTTACTTCGATTGCGGTAAATAACCTTACTTAAATGGAAAGCAGCCTTAGTTTTTCCTTAACAAAAGCGTCCCTTTTAAGCATAATAATAAAATATGAAATACAGAATGATAAAAATATGAATACTAATTTTTAACGAATGGTTAAATAAAGCAAGGGAATGGATACTTTTTTTTCTTCCATTCATGCGTAGTTGCTTCGCATATAATATGCAAGAATGTCACTTAAATAGACCGAAACGACATCCTTTTACCATTTTGTGGATATTTAATCCAATTTCGCAGTAAACAACTTGTGGCCTTAATTACTTGACGTCTTTTTAACACTTGTCCCGCGGATTGATTACATGAATACTCGTTTCATATAACAGCAAATAAATTTATCCCTTTTAATCGGTTTGTCCTTTTTTGGAGATTAACCCTTTGACGCAGATGGGACACAGGTGCCCATTATATATATATATATAATNTATATATATATATATATATATATATTTGACACTCCAATCAATTACAAGCAAAAATATTTTTTAATATTTTTAAGTAAAGAAAAATAGTTCAAGGGGACTCTAACTCATGACCCGTCTAAAAATCTGTTAAATTATCAGAATTGCATTTTTACTGAAAAAAATGAAGTTTGGAAAATAATTTTTGTTATTCATATTCAGAAATTTATCAATAATTGATTTTGAAAATAAAAGAAATTTTAATGATGAAAAACAGTTTCTCTTAGATCTAAATAATTGCAAATAAGAGCAAATTCGAAAAAGCATTGCTTAGAAGTGAGTTGCGTTTTGAAGTTTTTACCTTTAACGTAGAAAAAGATATCGGTGATTCATGCTATATTTCATAACCATAAATTATAAAAATGCTAACTATAATATTTTTCAAGGGGACTCTAACCCATGACCCGTCTACCACTGAGGCACGGTGTGGAATTCGTTTCAACCAGCCATCGGCGGGATTCGAACTCGGTTCACCTCATGGGGAGGCAAACGCTCTATTCCCTGAGCCACCACGGCTCAAAGATAATATTTTGGAAAATTCCATTTCCTGAAACTTGGTTCAGTAAAGTTATTTCCTTTATAATTTGGCTGTTTCGTTCCTGAAATACATCACACGCCAAGCTTTGGAATAAATCCAAAGGATACAGAAAAAAAAACGATACCACTCACTTTGAGACAATAGTATTTGACTAATATGTTTTTTTTTTTCTGTTAAAAGAAATTTAACGACGGCATAGAACTATTATTATTGAAGATTCTTTTCTTTCCACGAATCTATTTCTGGTTTAGAAATTGTTTTTCTTCCGGATTATACAATTATGCAAATTTAGTTTACGATTCAAAAAATGAGATGCGTCATTGAGAGCGATACTAACGACGTACTCTTTTGTTTCTCAATTATGTATCTAAGATAATTAAAAACAGCTTAGACGAAACATCAGATCATTAATGATGTTTCCTACGTAAGTTTTAAATGACCTGATCACGCGCAAACATCTTTAAATAGAAGATATTAAACAAACAATAATTAATCTAAACATTTTTTATCGATTAAATTGATACCTTAAAAGAATTAATACCACTGCGTGATAACGGATTGATGCTACATAACATGGTTGTTATTTGATTTTTTTTCTATCAACAAATTATACATTTGACAGACTATGTGATTGAGTTTTTTTATTTATATTTTTACATTAATGAAGCGGTAATATCTGCTTATTAACATATTAATATGTATTTGCAATAATTATTAATGCCTGATGTATATTAGATGGAACGGAATTAAAGTTTTTTAAGGAAAGTCGTAAAAAATTGATAGTATTGCTGTTTTTCCAAATCAAAACACTAAAAAGTTATTGCAAATAAACAAAATTCTAGTAAAATAGTTTTTAAATGATAAAAAACTACTATATTTAATTTTTTGTAACATAATGGAGTTAAATAGAAGTTAGAGTTAGCTTAAGAAATAGCCTTATTACTCATTCATAACAAATTCATTCAATAATTCTTGTTTTAAAAATATTCTTATGAGACTATATTACCTACCACCTATTAATTTTTAATACATTAAATATTTGCTTCATTTAACTATATATGGGTGTTAAATATATATGGTAGGTAGGTACTTTCAGCATGGAGTGTTTTCCCTCTTTTGGCTATGTAGGTAGGAATTTTATTGATGTCTCTCTTGAGATGCACAATGGGCTATTGGCGACGGTTTGGGAAACATCCCTGAGGGTGATCCGAAGACATCAAAATTTTGATCCTCTGCTGAGGGGATGGCTCCTCCGCTTTGTAACTACATATGAAGTATGGGGTAACTTTATAACTCAAAAATAGTTGCAGCCACTTTGAACTACAGCGATTTGTGCGACAAAGATTTGTGTGACATAGATTTATGTAATCGATTTGTGTGACAAAATAGTGTTTTTATTAAACCTGCTCTCTAGATATTTAAGTGTGAAAATACATTGACGTAATGCGTTAAAACTAGTTTTTAAATTATTACCACAAACTTTATTGCATTAGAATAATTCTTCATCAAAAACCTAATTTTGCCAGTTTTTATTTTATTCAAAAGTTAGGCTTTAAAAATTAGAAAACCAGTTTGAAAATTCATTACCGTAAACCGGGGCGAGTCTACCCATCCAGGGGCGAGTCTACCCATTTTAGTTTTATTTAATTTTCACTATTTTAAATTGCAAATAAAAAAATTTTTACCAATGGAGGACTTAGTTCAGACTCTAAGGAAGATGGCGCTGTAGTAGTTTGATCCGTTTTTATTTATTTGGTGTCTTTTTAACCGACCTGTTCAAACGTCTTTTGAGAGATTTGTATTGAAAATCAGCAAACTTTTAGTTGGTGCTCCGTAAGTATATTATTATTATTACTATTTTCACTTTGGTTAAGTGATAAACTTATCTAAGACTAAGATTACATTAATTTTATATGAAAAAAAAAAAAAAAGAATGTAAGTTTTGCTGTTGTAAACAAAAAGCCAGAATTCGCGGGGCGAGTCTACCCATTCGTATTTAGTTTTAATAAAGCATAATAATATAATTTAGAACTTTGTTTATATTAAAATTAAGTCATTTTAAATGAATTTGAGTATATTATTTTAATTCTGCATTGATAAATTTATCATTAATAAGAAAATTTATAGGTTAAATATAAATGTAAATATAAAATATGTTTATTTTACCTATTTTTTCAATTTTTATATTACAAAATTAACTTTTTTTATTTAATGCAAGTTAAATAAATTATTATTTATAAATTATTATTACCTCCCAAAAGAATGGGAAAAGGATTTTTCATGATTCCCAATGTTTGAATTTCGATTTTGTTAATAATCTTTAATTATTATTATTTATTAATTATTTAATTGTAAATTTATATTAATTTTAATTTATTTTTATCAACAATAATCAGAAAAAAATGTTATTTTATAATGTTAATGATTATAAAAACAAAACTGTGATCAAAATGTGATAATCGATCAAATACTCAATTTGTGTTATTTTATGAATAAAAAAATGGAATATATAATAAAGTTATGAATTTTACTTCATAAATATCCTATATAGTAACTAAAATAACAATTTAATAGTAAAATTTGATTATTTACAATGTTAACATTCATTTTAGTAGAATGGGTAGACTCGCCCCATACGAGAGATTTGTCAGCAGTTCTATAAAAATATACAGTAACAGCGTAAC